AGTAGTCTTGAGCAAAGTTGTAGCTGGGAAAATTTCCTACAAGTACAGTTGAAAGCTTTTGAAGCAGACCGATATGGTGAATTATTAGATAGACATGAACAAAAATCTTGGTTTTACCATAGCAATTCCCATACAAATTTCAAATGGTTTGTGCCATCTCAGTTTCTCACCAAATGGGTTCAAATTTTGAGAGGTTAATCAGAATCCGATTTGGACTTATTTAAGTATAGCGGAGCGAAAATTTCAAATTTTGCATAACTCTAATAGACATCGGCAACTGTAGTCAATCCAGTCTCTGATCGCTCTACTGTTGTAGCGATTGATGATAACCAATTTCATCGAGATAGCACTTTGATCAAGCCAGCTTCACCTGTTCCTGCAAAGATGGAGTCAGTAGAGAGCAAGGCTTATGATGTCGAACAACGAAATTGTACATCTCAAGCCTACACTACTGAACTCCCTCGTCTCAGACGTACCATCCAGCCGCCGAAGAAGTTTGCTGATTATGAAATTATTGAATGGGTAGAATGGAGGCTTGCTTAAATCAATGAAAGGGAGATGTTAGAGTACAAGCATACCTTTTGATTAACCTTGCAAATAAGCACCTTGATTATATTAACCTTGCGAATAAGCACATTCATATGTATTGACATTGAGCTCTGAATAAAGCAGTTGATTTTCACACACCAATCGTGCGTGATAATGTTTGCACCATCATACAAATAAGGTTCCCGTTTCACCTGTGTATACAATGCCTTGGTTTTCTTTGCATGCACGTAACCTATAGCTCATACCGTAGTAGCATAGAGGTAACTCTAAGACTAGTAGGTTCCGAAGAAACGTGCTCAACTTCTTGGCTCAGCTCTGGTACTATCTCCGGTTCCAAGCTAATCGATTCACCCCTCGAAACATAGGAACATCCACTAACCCCTCATTTTATCTGTCAAACTTTCATAGCGAATCAAAACAAACATTGCGTAGTACTAGAATTTCGACTAGAATGGGATACGTTAATCGTTTGCTTGGGACCAATAGCCTAGTCAAGTAGTGAGCCAATTTAAAATCGTTAGTTTCCACCGGTTGGTAGTAGGCTGTGTATAAAAGAAAATGTTTTACTTAGTTTGACAGTTGCACCATGACGAAGTGACAGCATATTCGTGATTTGTCCCTCGCGCAAATGTCGCAAAAAGACATTTCAATCGCCGTGGGAGTGTCCCGGTGGACCATCAAAAGGGTTTTAGACCGAGAAAAGAAAGGACAACTATCCGCGAAGGTGGCCACAGGTCGTCCGATGTCAGCTCGGGTTCCGAGGGTTATCGCTGCTATCAAAAGGAAGATTCGGGTGAATCCAGTGCGTTCAATAAGGAAAATGGCAAAGGAACACGGGATCAGTGACTTTACGGCACGGAAGATCGTAAAGGAAGATTGCGGGGCGAAGTCGAGGGCACGGGAAAAAAACTCACATGATTACCAACCGCATCCGGGAGCTACAAGTCGAACGATGCAAGAAAATCTTGAACTTCCTAAAGCGAAAAAATCCGGTCATCCTGTTCACCGACGAGAGCATGTTTACCGTCGATCCCGTATTCCAGAACCGACCGGTATATTAGTTCTCTTCCGGTAAAAGACGTGGCCGACGAGCACAAGAACGTGTATCTGACCAAGCATCCTGCTAGCGTCATGGTGTTTGGATTGGTGGCTTCCGATGGCAAAAAATGGACCCGGTGTTCATTCCAGTAGGCGGCAAGGTCCACACGGAGGTCTACATCAGGATTTTAAGTAAGTATGTTCTTCCGTGGATCAAAGAAAAGTACGGTCCGAAGCCAAATGTTGTATTTCAACAAGATGGGACTCCGTGCCATACTTCGAACCGCACTCAGAAGTGGTTGCAGGAACATCTTCCGTTCTGGGCGAAGGATATGTGGCCGCCATCCAGCCCCGATTTTAATCCGCTGAATTACTCAATATGGCGCGTCATGAAGGCCAAGGCCTGTTCTAAACGCCACCCTAGTACAGCAAGCCTCAGACAAACATTGACCCGTACCTGTAGAGCAGGGTTACTTCCACTCACTTGCTATAAAAAATTGTGTTTCCGAATTATGGCAACAATAGATGTTATAATGATAATTAGTACTTGTCAGTTACAAGGAAAAGTCGTGAAGTATGTGTTTGACACATTACACCTGTCAATATTGCTTTCAGTGCGTCACAATCAGAGATTTAACGATCCGTGAGCGCTCACTCAGAGTGAACGCTCGCGAATCATAAGATCGCCGATTGTGACGCTCTGAAAGCGACATTGACAGGTTTTATGAGTCAAACACATCCTTTACACCCTTTTCTTGTTACTTACAAGTACAACATATCATTATATCATCTTATGAACTCATAATTTCAAAAACCATTGCTTTATAGCAAGTGAGTGGAAGTAACCCTGCTGTAGAGAAATGGATCCAGACTACAACCTGCCGTGCAATCCGGAAGCGTGTGGAGCCCTTAATTGCAGCAAGTGGAAACTCGAAGTTTAAGACTCTGAGAAACATCCCCCCTTTGAATAAATAAAAAAAAACTCGAAAACGAAATTTTTTAGAATATTTTTAATTTTGACATTGCTCAATGGTGCAAACATTATCACGCATACGGTACTCTTGCTGACTTGAGTTTCCGAATAATCTCGTCGAAAGTCTTCAAATGGTCCTTGATTGATGCATCTTTGGCCATTCTCAGCTTTACGAGTTGCTTGCGAATAAGCGTTTGTGACGAAACCGTCTTCTTGGCGTAGATTCCTTCCAGAGTGCTCCAAATTTCCTTGGCCGTTTCTTTTTCACGAATCAAATCCAGTGAATCATCGTTGATGAAGGAGACAAGCACATTTGTTGCCTTTCCATCTAACTCTTGAAACTTCGCTGCTTCAGCCGCTACGGTCGGTGCGGCTTTCTTTACCGCATCCAGCAACCCCGTCGACTTCAGGAGTTTCTCGACTCTAAACTTACAATTCTCGAATCCGCTACCGGAGAACTGCGGGATCCCGTTTACGGATTCCCTGTGCGTATCGCCCATAGCCTCTTGCATTTATAACAGGGGTTTGAATTAAGGAAGAACTCTATTTTGAGAGTTTGATAACGAATGAATGAGCACTTGTTGACACATTCAAATGTTACGCTGATTGTTGATGATTTGTTACGGTTACAATATGTTTTACCCGGGACGACCGTCGTCCCCAAAACACGAAACTTTCCTCCGAGACAGTAGAACAGACATCTGTTATAGCTGTAGCTTGCCAACTTAAGAAAAAGAAAAAACCGGAATAATTTATCCAGCCAGAATCCTTTTTCCACATTGTATTTCCTTCGGGAGTTCCCAACAGTCTGGAAGTTATTAAAATATCTCGCCCCAAAAAAAAGAGAAATAACGCAGTCTGGTATATGTACCCACATCCTATATAGCTTCAGTTACGTGATTCGCGTAGCTTTCAGATAATTGGGTGGTTGGATCATGCTTTCACGAGCTCAAGGCAGATTAAATTCATCAACTTGAGCTCGATTGGATTTTTCCTGCAATCAGCTTACTTGAACCGTCTCCCTTCGTGTACCCGTCTGCTCGAATGTAAATGCAAATTTTCGACAGTGCCACTCGATAGGTATATAAATTTCCAAATAAGTACGTTCATGATGATGGAGGTATTATTCTCAGCTAGTGATAAGCTGTCAACATGAGGTATTGCAAATTGGATACGGGAGTTATAATGATTTAATTTGCAGGATCTTATGATGACGTGTCGCGTTTTCTTCCACAACCGGGAAGATTTCGCCGCGTAAGTGGTGATAAATCTCTTTTGGCACTCAAGACTTGACAAGCTGGAAAATTGATAAAGTGATTCGGTTTTTTCCGGGGGGGATTATTGAAACATAATCGAATTGCTAAAAATTAAGTAAGACGTGTGATCCGCACAAACTTAGTACACTCAATTCAGTTTTACGCGATTTTTTTTCGTCTCTACTTTTGATCATGTGATCTAAATTTGCAACCAAATATAATTCAACTCGTTCAAAAAACAAAGAAAAATCAGGTGCATCTCGTAAAAACAGAATTTATGATAAATATATTGATCATATGATAAACTTTGAAACATGTCATTGAAAGCAGTTGAAGAAAATTAAAAAAAAGAAGCAACGTAACCATGTATTATCTCTCTTACCAATAATTCTTGGAACCCATTACACATGTTGATTAATCGCTGCAAGCGCCAGAAATAAGAAGAAATACAAGCATCGAAAATGTTGGAACGTAATTTTGACATTTAGCTCCGCAAAACAAGAAGAGATTAATTTCACGGCAAATTCACTCGAAAACGTCAGCCTTTATGGTAATGTTCTCGGTATTAAAAATAAAACCTCCATGTCAACCGCATTATTATGAATGTGCTGATCCTCCACGGTTTTGTCGTACATATACCGGAGCACAAGAACCTCTCAACTTCAAATCTCGTCAGCAATAATTGTCAGCACATTTTGTGCTTTTTCTCCCATCCTTACCGCTCGTGGGAGCATCGCGTTTCCCAGATCCATCAACTCACCCCCTTTTCTGGAAAATAATCTGGGAGAAGAAAAACCAAGCAAGCCACGAAACAAAGGCACAATTTCTCCTAGCTTTCACATTGCCTAATTTGGGGGGGTTAAAAATTACTCTCGTCGCTTGTGCCATAAATCTAGACCAACAATTGAAATAGGCGGAACAACCAAACGTACACAATGGCTTTAAACGAAATTTTTTCTCGAGAATCCAAAACTCACCAACGGAAGTTTGCTCTATCTAGATTGTTTTGAATTTTGGCATTGTTTACGTTTGACTGTTTCAACTATTTCTGCTGTTGATCCAGAAATGCCTTATGAATTCTATTAAAACCACGTCTGGAAAACTCGCTGATTTGACAAGACACCAGAAGCAATTATTTCAAATCTTCTTCATTTTCTTCTCGTTCTCGTTCGAAATCAAAACAGGTGTTCCTCCTCCCGCTGACGATCGCATCCTCCCTTGCGATAACGACGTCCCCCATCGAGACTCCCGCCGCATCGAAAGCGGACGCCGCCATCAGTCGAAAGGAGAAGCGTGGCATCTTCGGCCTGGGGGCCTATGCTCCAGCGGCACCGATTTATGGTCACGGTTACGCTCACGCTCACGCACACGCACACGCGGCGGCGCCACTGCCTCTGCCTCATTTCCATAACGATGGTGTCGTAGTAGGCGCTGCAGCTCCCCCTGTTGCCCCGGTTGGACCGTTCCTGGGTGCTTACGCTCACACCCACAGCCACACTGTGGTCACGAAGAAGATTGGCGTCCCCATCCCGCAGCCGTACGCCGTTCCAGTCGACCGGCCGTTCCCCGTTCCGATTAAGGTAATTGGATCCCCCTTTTTTAATCGAAAATTCCGTATGATTTAATAACTGTCAAGCAATGTTCGATGAAAATATCCCGAAACTGTGCGGTTCATGCTTGGTAGTCATATGGAAAAAAAATTCCTCGGACAGCTAGTGAACCGAAATACCCACTCAAAGCCTTTCCAGCTCGGGTACAGATTACCCTTGTTAAATCAATTATATGCTCGCCTTTATGCGGTAAAGCTGGGTTTAGATAGGGCAAGTCAAATGATCAACTCAGTTGAATTCAATTGGCTTGAAAAGTTGAGCCTGGTTCAACTTTTTTCAATTCAAGTGAGTTGATCAAGTCAGTTGAATGGCATGGTTTACACGTTCAATTCGCGTTCAAGTCAGTTGAATTCAACTGAATTGATCAATTGACTTGCCCTGTCTAAACCCAGCTTAACAGTCGGTATATCAAAATAGCTTCTATTTCCAATAGACAGATCCATCCAATATAGCAAGCCAACGATATAGAAAAAGAGATTTGCCCCGCACCCAAATTCAATCGTAATCAATCTCACCTCACAATTCATACGAGAACCGAACCCAGGGCGGATAATCAAAGGTGCCACAGAAGGAAGAAGACGTTAGTTTGTTTAGGCTCTGAACCATTTGGTGGATTATTTTAACTTTTGGTTAAAATTTGACAGATGGAAAGTTATCGATTAACCCTGCTATCCGAACGTGGTTACTTTTGACAAACAAGAAGTTGAATTTTGACAACCTTGGCTAAGTTCTTCTCGAAAATCGGTCGATCGACAGCACAGGGATTTTCGAACATAGAAAATAACTTTCGAAATGTCACTTTTAACCACGAGTTAAAGTTAACTCGGCAAATGGTTCACAGCCTTACTAAGGCTCTGAACCATTTGGTGGATTATTTTAACTTTTGGTTAAAATTTGACAGATGAAAAGTTATCGATTAACCCTGCTATCCGAGCGTGGTTACTTCTGACAGACAAGAAGTTAAATTTTGACGACCGTGGCTCGAAAACCGGTCGATCGACAGCACGGGGATTTTCGAACATAAGAAATAACTTTCGAAATGTCACTTTTAACCACGAGTTAAATTTAACTCGGCAAATGGTTCACAGCCTAAGGCTGTGAACCATTTGCCGAGTTAAATTTAGGCTCTGAACCATTTGGTGGATTATTTTAACTTTTGGTTAAAATTTGACAGATGAAAAGTTATCGATTAACCCTGCTATCCGAGCGTGGTTACTTCTGACAGACAAGAAGTTAAATTTTGACGACCGTGGCTCGAAAACCGGTCGATCGACAGCACGGGGATTTTCGAACATAAGAAATAACTTTCGAAATGTCACTTTTAACCACGAGTTAAATTTAACTCGGCAAATGGTTCACAGCCTTAACTCGTGGTTAAAAGTGACATTTCGAAAGTTATTCTTGATGTTCGAAAATCCCTGTGCTGTCGATCGACCGGTTTTCGAGAAGAACTCAGCCACGGTTGTCAACATTTAGCTTTTTGTCTGTCAGAAATAACCCCGCTCGGATAGCAGGGTTAATCGATAACTTTCCATCTGTCAAATTTTAACCAAAAGTTAAAATAATCCACCAAATGGTTCAGAGCCTAAAGGCCGGTGCACAATGCATACGTTTTCGGGTTTTTTGACAGATAATGCATGGGCTAACTGTCAAAAACCCTGAAAACGTATCCATTGTGCGCCGGTCTTAAGGCTGGGAACCATTTGCTGAGTTAAATTTAACTCGTGGTTAAAAGTGACATTTCTATGTTCGAAAATCCCCATGCTGTCGATCGACCGATTTTCGAGCCACGTGCTGTCAATCGACCGGTTTTCGACCCACGGTTGTCAAAATTTAACTTCTTGTCTGTCAGAAATAACCATGCTCGGTTAGCAGGGTTCATCGATAACTTTCCATCTGTCAAATTTTAACCAAAAGTTAAAAAAAAAATCTCCAGATGGTTCAGAGCCTAAAGGCCCAAGCGCAATGACAGCGGAAGCGGAACGGCAGCGGCAGTGGAAAAGCCCGATCTGAGTAAGCCTACTTGTCGGATTGCAACTAGTTAGAATCAAACCAACTTCGGTTAGGCATCTTGATGCCATTTGTGACAACTGTCAAACCTTCCGTTTCCGTTCCGCTTCCACCCACATTGCGCTTGGGCCTTAAGGCTCTGAACCATTTGATGAATTATTTTAACTTTTGGTTAAAATTTGACAGGTTAAAATTTGAAAGTTATCGATTAATCGACAGACAAAAAGTTAAATGTTGACAACCTTGGCTAAGTTATTCTCGAAAACCAATCAATCTACAGCACAGGGATTTTCGAACATAGAGAATAACTTTCGAAATGTCACTTTTAACCACGAGTTAAATTTAACTCGGCAAATGGTTCACAGCCTAAAATGAACTCTGACGATTTTATATGGCAAGTTCTGCTATAATCACTTTAAACACTCCTCGTGTTTATTCACGAAATTCACATCACTTGCGTAGGAAATCAATTTGGCCAGGCATTTGTGACCAGCATACACCTTCTCGTATGAAATCCGCCCGAAAACTTTTTTGTGTTGTCACTATGTTTCAGCCCACCCGTCATTATCCGCATTGAACGGAACCGTCCTCCCCCGAGTCGCATAATAAGTAAGCATACAGGTATACCTCGATATAACGTAACTGTCACATTTGACTTCCATCGCCGATTTCTCGCAAACGATCATTCAAACAAGCAAAGTAATATCACAATTGGACAGAAGAGATAATCCCTCATTTTTTGGTAATACTCGTGGTAACGTTAATGAGTATGATTCAATTGTTATTAGCGAGATATTGACGTTGGAAGTCAAAAGTGACAGTTACGTTATATCAAGGTATACCTGTATAGATCACATTTCCTTTTTCAACAGAGAAAATATATGTATACCTGTATAGATCACATTTCCTTTTTCAACAGAGAAAATATATGCCCACCACCTACCTAATTCAAGGAAAGGTACTAAGCTTCCCAAATGGAGAGGTTAGTTTTCTGCTGACGCTAACAAGCGGCACTGTGGGCTGAGGTGATTTATTCAAACTTATTTTAATATTTATTCACAATCACATTTAATCACAATTACAAATTTCATACTAGGTACCAGTGTTGGCAAAATCATCAATCAATCGATATTTTTCCGCTGTCATACGCTCTCAATATCACGCGTCATATTGGAACAAAATATCATGCTTGATAATGATTTTACAAGCTCCTTTGATATTGTGAGACTATTCACAACGTGCAAAAATCAAGCTGAGAGTTGACTCAACACAAAAAAATGATTCCGTTGCACATCGTGTCCTTAGGAAGAGAAAGTATTGGTTGCTATCTAAGGCTCTGAACCATTTGGTGGATTATTTTAACTTTTGGTTAAAATTTGACAGATGAAAAGTTATCGATTAACCCTGCTATCCGAGCATGGTTATTTCTGACAGACAAGAAGTTAAATGTTGACAACCGTGGCTCGAAAACCGGTCGATCGACAGCACGGGGATTTTCGAACATAGAAAATAACTTTCGAAATGTCACTTTTAACCACGAGTTAAATTTATCTCGGCAAATGGTTCACAGCCTAAGAGGGTTGCTATCTCTTTTTACTCTTCACCGATGGCAGACACGACTGCTGCCAGCCGTTATGGGAGTTTCGGTTGCATTCGGGTTCGGGTGCAAAAATCATGAAAATCAATCTCACCACAGTTTGTTGAGGTTAGCAGCTGGTGAGTTTTGTCAGTTTGATATTCCGGGATGCGATATCACAGCTTGCACAATCAACCGCAGTTGTTTGCTTGTTGATTTTTGTCTATGAAAATCAGGCGTGATCTTGGGCATTGTTGAGATTTGATTTTTTGATATTTTCCCAACACTGCTAGGTACATTTCATTAGGTGAACATTCTCTATGGCAGAACAGATTTCAGTAGGGAAGTAATGAGTAAAATTCCAACGGATTTTTGAGGAAAACTCCAAAGACTCTAGACCTGAAATCCTAGTGGATTTTGATAAGAAATCAAAGGGTATCTAAATCGAAGGGTAGTTCCAAAAGAGTTTTAAGGAAAATCCAAAATTTTTAAATTTAAATTTTTATGAGAATGTCGAAGAAGATTCCAATGAAATTCTTGGGAGAATATCAAACAACTTCAGGGAATATTCCTTGGGCAGTTTTTATGAGAATTTTAAGAGAAATTTGGCAGGATGCTTAGAGAATGCTTATGAGAATTCCAAGATAATTCTGAGCCGATTCTCAGTTAAATGTAGTGTCAAAAATTCATTTAAGTGCAAGAACATTTTTCGGTTGCAAGCTTAAATAACATGTCCAAAACAAAACTCCAGTATTGTACATGGAAGATGTTATAGTACGTTCAGACTACAGAGCTATAACACAGTACGTTCAGACTACAGAGTTATTACATGTTATAGCGCTATCTTGATGGTGGTTTCTGTGTTGCAATTAGTTGACAACCGTTATAACATGTTATAACTCTCCAGTCTGGACAGCGTTTTAGACCAATCGGTTATTTGTATTATAAAACGCTGTACAGACTCGAGAGTTATAACATGTTATAACGGTTGTCAAATAATTGCAACACAGAAACCACCATCAAGATAGCGCTATAACATGTAATAACTCTGTAGTCTGAACGTACTATAAGAGGCTTTTATATTATTTCTCAATATTTGCTTAGAATAATGAAACGCGTTTTAAGGATGGAAATTCTTATAAGCGCAGCTTTCTTTTTATTATACAAACCAATGTATTACAAAAAATAGTATTTGGTTTGTTTATCACTTTTCAGAATTGTTTCATAAATTCGGAATGGAATATTACCAACAATCAATACGAAACTAGCCTATTGGTCCCAAGCAAACGATTAACGTATCCCATTCTAGTCGAAATTCTAGTACTACGCAATGTTTGTTTTGATTCGCTATGAAAGTTTGACAGATAAAATGAGGGGCTAGTGG